TCCCCCCCCCTCCCCCCTCCGCCCCCCCGCCGGCGTATCATCTTCCTCGGCGCAGTCAGAGGAGGAAGCGGCGAGCGCGGTCCGTGGCGGCGATACGGGTCCTAAATCTTCGTTGTGACGCGCACTAAATCTCCTCCGTGACCTTATATCGATCTTGGCCAATCAGGACGTTCTGAATGGCCGCCTCTCCCAAAGAAAAAGAAAGGAAAAGAAAAGAGAAAAGAAGAAAAGAAAGATAAAAAAAAAAAGTGAGGCACAGACCGTCTTGAATGCAAGGTGTGGCGTCGCCGTTTCGGAGTCAATACGGAAGGGACGTATTACCATAAGTTCGAGATTCATGTTTGACGGCGTTATTAGGTCGACTCTATGGGTGCCAGGAGGGGGTGGGGGGCGGGTGCTGCTGGTGATTACTCCCTTCGTAATCTCTCCTTTTTTCTCTCTTGTATCTCTCTTTTTCTCTTGTCTTTTTTTCTTGTTTTCCTTTTTTTAGGGGGGAAGGGACTTCTTATCGCAGGTATCTTTCCAATCATGTCTTTCCCTATTCAGGAATCACTCTCTTTCTCTTTCTTTTCTTCGCTCTCTCTCTCTCTCTCTCTCTTCCTCTCTCTCTCTCTCTCTCTCTCTCTCTCTTCTCTCTCTCTCTCTCTCTCTCTCTCTCTCTCTCTCTCTCTCTCTCTTTCTCTCTCTCTCTCTCTCTCTTCTCTCTCTCTCTCTCTCTCTCTCTCTCTCTCTCTCTCTCTCTCTCTCTCTCTCTCTCTCTCTCTCTCTCTCTCTCCCTCCCTCTCCCTCTTCCCTCTCCCCTCTCCTCTCTCTCTCTCTCTCTCTCTCCTCTCTCTCTCTCTCTCTCCTCTCTCCCTCTCCCTCTCCCCTCCCTCTCTCTCCTCCTGACCTTCTTTCCTCTCCTGTCTCTCTTTTTTTTTAACCTCGTCTACTGACCTCTTTCTCTGGTTCCTTCCCTTCGTCCCTCTCCCAATGTCATCTCTTTCCAACTCCCCCTCTCTTCTCTATCTTTATTTTATTCTCCTTCCTCTCTCTCTCTCTCTCTCTCTCTCTCTCTCTCTCTCTCTCCCTCTCCCTCTCCCTCTCCTCTCCCTCTCCCTCTCCTCTCCCTCCCTCCCCACTCCCACTCCCACTCTCCCACTCCACTCCCACTCCCACTCCCACTCCACTCCCACTCCCTCTCCCTTTCTCCCTCTCCCTCCCCCCCCCCTCTCTCTCTCCTTCTCCCTCCCCTCCCTCTCTCTCTCTCTTCTCTTCTCTCTTCTCTTCTCTCTTTCTCTTTCTCTTTCTCTTCTCTCTCTCTCTCTCTCTCCTCTCTTCTCTCTCTTCTCTCTTTCTCTTTCTCTTTTCTCTCTCTCTCTCTCTCTCTCTCCCTCTCCCGCTCTCTCCCTTTCTCTCTGTTTTTTTTCCATCCCACCTCTCTCTCTCTCTCTTTTACTCTAACGTCACCTCGTGCCTCCTCGGCTCCCGCCTCCCTCTCTCCTTCGACGCGACGTGTTTGCTTCCGTATTGATGGGTCCGACAAACATCAAACAGAGTCTTGTAAATGACTCGTGAATCCAGGGCCGTTATGCAGCGGACGAACCCTCGCTGCGGTCTCTGTGGACTCGCGAAGACTCCGCCGAGAACTCCCTCAGGCGAGTACTCACTCCTGCGACCTCCAGGAACTCTTTCTGAGAATTTGAGATATTCCAAGGTCTCTTTTCAGATTCGTGAGTTTTTTTTTTTTTTTTTTTTTAACATGGCGACTTTTCTAGGATTTCTTAAGGTGTTTCACATCCTTTTTTTTTGTAAGGACTCCCAGGATCCTCACACAGCGCCCTCTATGGACTCCTAACCTCCTGAAACAGCGCCCTCCAAGGACTCCAAAGCCTCCTCGGACAGCGACCTCCTAGGAATGCCATCTCTTACTAGGACTCCTTCAGACTCCCCACACATAATGACCCCAAGGACTCCTCCCCCCCCCCCCCCCATGACTCCAACGGACTCTCTTGGACTCCTCATCCAGCGCGCTCGAAGGACTCCCTTTGACAGCGACCTTCCAAGCCCCCCACCCCCCCACCTCCCCCTCAGACTCCGATTCTGCTGACGTGCCCCTCGCGCAAAGTTTTGCCAGGAGATAGATATCTTTTAAGGGAGAGATAAATCCCTTTCTTTCAGAACTTTCTGGTTGTGGTCTGATTTTAAGATAAGAAAAAAAAAGTTTGGGGATAAGTTAGTGAATAATAGGAAGGATTTTCTAGATAAAGATTTTTTTTTTTTTGACTTATGACTACTGTAGCGATGAGAGAGAGGAGATGACTTATAGAACGATTCTGTTTAACCCGCCGGCGAATTCGTCAAAATGTCCGATTTAGCTTTTAAAAGAATGAAGACATAAAAAGTATCGTAAAAAATAAAAGGATAGAAAAAGATAAGGAGGTGTAGCAAGAAAATTAATGATAATAATAATAATGATAGTAACAATAATGATAATACTAATAATAACGATAATAATAATAATGATGATGATGATGATGATAATAACAATAATAATAATAACAATAATAAATCCTCACAAAACTTCAATTCACGAGCTGGAATTCCATCCGCCTAGGTTACGAGAACTGGAAATACATTTTCATGTTCACCTGAACGGCTGCAAACATAGCCAATGTGCATCACCATTGACCCGACGCACGAGACTTCCCGGAGACGAATCTTGGCGCATCTGGCGGTGATGAATGGTGATGAAGTGTAATGAAGTGTCCCAACTTGAATGCCATTAAATTTTGGTGGTTATCCGTACCATGATCCGGATCCAGGAATTTGTTAAAGGATTCATTTGCACTGCGAGTTAAGGAAAGACGGGCTTCCCATTGGTACGCTTGGGAAAGAGATTTTAATGGAATTCTCCAAATGTGAATATTTTTATTGCATCAGTGACCCTATTGCTCTGGCGGAGGTATGCGGTCTGTGAGACCTAGTTATTATTATTATCATTCAACTGCCATTTATTTCAATGTATGACTCAGGCTTCGATCAATTAACTATCTATGTTTATATATGTTTATGTGTGTGTGTGAGCGTGTTTGCGTGCGTGTGTGCAGGAGTGCGTGTGTCTGTTTCTGTCTGTGTTTATTTTCTGAAATAGATTGCACCTGAGAACCTGACAAACCCAGTGGGATAATCCACATGAATTATTTGAATTACTTTGGCTACTTCATATTCAATGATCATGAACAGATATGCTGAGTGAATTATAGGTCTATTATGTTTTATTGTAAAAGTGCTATGCTAATAAGCAATTAATCTGACGCTAGTAGGAATTATGAACCATAATTCTTCTTAACAGTTTCCTCTCCTTCTCATTCTCTTTTTTACCCATTAGGTTATTATTCTCTCTCTCTCTCTCTCTTCTCTCTTCTCTTCTCCTCTCTCTCTCTCCTCCTCTCTCTCTTCTCTCTTTCTTTCTCTTTCTCTATCTCTTTCTCTCTCTCTCTTTCTCCTCTCTATCCCTCTCTCTCTGTGTGTGTGCGTATGCGTGTGCGAGTGCGTGTGTACGTATGGACAAACATATGAATAAATAACACGACAACGCCTTTCGCCGACTCAACATGCCATTCGAAGAGCCACACACACCTGCCCCCCCCCCCCCCCCCCGTTAAGGTATCCGAAGCAACAAAGCGGCCGTCGCGTCCGGTCCCATAACGCAGCCAAAATATAGCATTCGGAATCCATTGGTTTCGCGGCCGCACGGTGTCTGACGCAGCACACGTGACCTTTCGGCGCTGGCTGACCTCGCTCGTCTGTTCGCGTGGCCTCGACAGCCGTGTTTTTTGCGTGCTACTGTGCGTGGAAGAGTGGAGTGTTTGTTTGTATGAGTGTGTATAAATGTGTGTGTTGAGAGAGAAGAGAGTGTGTGTGTGTGTGCGTGTGTGTGTGTATTTATAACCCCTTTCCTCTCGTCTTTTTCAGTGTTGTTGGATTGTAAAAAATAATACATTTAACCCTATAATCATGTCAGAATAAGATACCTGATAGTCTCTACATGAATGAATAGTAAATTTTATACAAGTTCCCCTTTATTACATGCATCACACATACTTTATAACGCTCCCTCCACCTTTAGATTTCGTATGCGCCTTTGATACATAAGTATGTATGTATATACACAAGCAAAGTACGTAAGAATGGAAGTATGAGTGTATGGGTTTATGTATATATGCATGTACATATTTATCTATCTGTGTGAGTGTATGCGTTTGTGTGTGTGTTGGTGTGTGTGTGTGTGTGTGTGTGTGTGTGTGTGTGTGTGTGTGTGTGTGTGTGTGTGTGTGTGTGTGTGTGTGTGTGTGTCTGTGTGTCTGTGTGTCTGTGTGTCTGTGTGTGTGTCTGTGTGTGTGTCTGTGTGTGTGCGTTTAACAATCAGGGATAACAAGCTAAAACACCAATTCACTCATTTCTGTCCATCGCTAAAGATCTATTTCCTGTCATTTAACCTAATCTTATGGCAAATTAAAGCTTACGTGCTGCCATATGGGTATAATGAATTGTAATTCACTTTACATCAATCGACAAGGTGAAATAATTTGATTTGGGGGAGTAATATGGGTGCGCAACTGAGTTACCGTGTACCAGGCTTCTCTGGCTTAAGCTCCTGGATAATACATTGTGTTTTGTAAATAAGTGTAGTCAGTATGTGTATCCACTTACGGAGCAATGGTATGTTGATTATGAGCAAAGAAATTAAGGACTAAGAGATATTTTGGCTTTATGTGTTTATGATAATGATAAATGTTGAATTCAGGTTTTATTAGGAAGTATTGTTAACATTTTTTGCTGTTTGTTTGTTTGTTTTTTGTTTTGTTAAATGACTAATGTACATTTCTTCCAACCCGCAAAGAAATCACGCTATTTTCATCCTTACCGAGTGTGAAGTATGTCAATCGCGCTATTTTCATCCTTACTGCGTGTGAAGTATGCCTTGCCCAGAATACGCAACTAAGAACGACCTCTTTCCAGGATGAATATGGAGGTTCTTGAGACTGTGATGCCGCCATGACTCCGAGGTCGCCCCCCACGCTCCCGGCGACGATATGAGAAATACCTGCTCCGCTGCTGCCAGAGTTCATCGCATCTACTCGGACGGTATCTACATCTACGCCACTTCTGCACAATACCTGCTCCGCCCACTATGAAGTATCTGATGGTGAGTCTGGATTGTAGAGTGCTTAATACACCTCAAATTTTTATCTATTTACTTATTTTTCGTTAGTCTTTCTCTTTTGTTCCTTCCGTGGCGTGGGATCAAAAGCGTAGCGATAAAGTGAAAGCAATGCGGGAAATATACACGGCATGAAGCCTCTCCCCATCCTTACAGCATTGCGTATCGCATTTACTTGATTAACAAAGTGCCGAGGGAGAGTTGCACAGGGTCGTGCTGTGGCTGAAATTTCATTCCGACTGTATTGCGAGTAGTGGATGTAGTTTCGGACCCGTGATGAAACCTTTTTCTCTTTAAAGCACCAGATAAATAAATTGGAAATGCATTAAGGTTGATAAAGTGTTAAGCGATACATCCGTGCAAAGTGGAACAGGAATACATGTGGCGCGTGCAAGAGCAAATGAGACTAAAGCCTTTCATGACGGAAAAATATAATTGTTTCGGCGGAAAAAAGTTAGACATTTTCGAAATCGAACTTTTTTGGTCATTTAAAAACATATTAGTGCCTTTCTGCGATTCACGATTATTCTGGGAGGTTAAGGCAGTCACCAGGACAACGTATCTCGATATAACGGGAACACTTCAATCCCTATTTACTTTGAAGTGTGAGTGTGCGAATTACTATAAACATTCACCCCGAGGATCTAAGGGCCAATAAAGAGTATTCCTGCAAGCGAGACTATATCTGTATATATTAAGCAAACAATAGTTCCCTTTCCACTTTACTCATTAACGTCCAGGTTGATTTAAATTTAGGAACAACAATATCCCACCCTAATATATCGCGAGACTGGCATTAACGTGGATTACGCTTGGCTCGGCAGGTCACGGTGTCTTTGTTTACGCGGGATCGTTCGCGTACGTTCATATGCGGATTCACGGATTCGCTCGCATGCACGTGCCGGTATTTCGGTTATTGTGCAGAGATATGTAGAAGAATCACATTTTGTTTTTAATTATAATAATAATGATAACACTAATGGTAGTACTAATGATAATACTAATGATAATTCTAACGGTAATAATAATGATGGTAATATGAATAATAAGAATGAGGATAATGATGATAATATGAATAATAAGAATGAGGATAATGATGATAATGATATTGACTATGATATGAGATGATGGTGATATAATGATAAATTTATGATAACAATAATGCTTACAATGATATTAATAATAGTAGTGATACAAATGATAATAAGAATGACAATGATGATATAAATATTAATGGTAATAATGATAATAATGATAATAATGGTAATTGTGATATCCGGTTTCTTACACTATCACAGATTTTATTGATAATGAGACATTACTTCACACAGTTACCGTAATGATGGGGTTGTTTTTCATATATATACAGAATACCTTGCCGAAATAAGCAGATGTGTGTGTGTATGTGTGTGTGTGTGCATGTGTGTGTGTGTGCATGTGTGTGCGCGAGCGTGCGTGCGTGTGTTTCTTAACACACCTAAATTTCAAGAAGTCAGTCAATACAAATATAGCACAATTAATCCTTAATAACGTCATCTCAACACAACACAACACAAAATAAAAATAGATAAATGAAAAAAAAATGAAAAAAAAAAATAATAATAACGACAGTGGGAGATTTATGCATTACTTTTAAATCGACAAAATTAACAAATCACGCTTTTGAATTGCGGGAATATTAGATTATGTTTCGCCTGTAATAACGCCTCTCGCCAAGCCGGCCGCCGGGAACAGAGCTGCATGCTGATCACACTGGTCGTTGCTGCAAGGTCTGTCGGATTCGAAAAATTTGTCTGGTCTTTGGCGGGAAGTGACGAAGTAATGACGTAGCCTGTTCTGGGGAAGTGACGTAGTAATGACGTAGACTTTTCTATGGAAGTGACGTACCATTGTAATGACGTTGTCTTTTCTTGGGAAGTGACGTAGTAATGACGTAGACTTTTCTATGGAAGTGACGTAGTAATGACGTAGACTTTTCTGGGGAAATGACGGAGTAATGACATTGTAATGACCTTGTCTTTTCTTGGGAAGTGACGTAGTAATGACGTAGCCTTTTCTGGGAAAGTGATGTAGTAATGGTAATGACGTGACTTCTTCTGGGAAAGTGACGCGGTAATGACGTAACCTTTTCTGACATCTATGACGTCACTGTAGGTATTATGGTAGATAAGATTTAAGGAGCCGTGACGGGGCTAGTTACTCCACTTACGTTTTCTCTTCCCACGAACAAAGAAAATCGTTGGTCATGGCCTGGCAACCAATCACAGCGCGAGAATTCTAGAGAACCAATCACAGCGCGAGAATTCTAGAGAGCCAATCATAACACGAGAATTCTAGGGAACCAATCACAACGCGAGAATTCTAGAGAGCCAATCACAACGCGAGAATTGTGGTCAACCAACCCCAACGCGAGGACTTTATCCAGCCAATCATAACACGAGAATTCTAGAGAACCAATCACAACGCGAGAATTCTAGAGAGCCAATCACAACACGAGAATTGTGGTCAACCAACCCCAACGCGAGGACTTTATCCAGCCAATCATAACACGAGAATTCTAGGGAACCAATCACAACGCGAGAACTGTAGTCAGCCAATTACGACGCGAGAATTGTGGTCAACCAACCCCAACGCGAGGACTTTATCCAGCCAATCATAACACGAGAATTCTAGGGAACCAATCACAACGCGAGATCTGTAGTCAGCCAATTACGACGCGAGAATTGTGGTCAACCAACCCCAACGCGAGGGTTTTATCCAGCCAATCATAACACGAGAATTCTAGGGAACCAATCACAACGCGAGATCTGTAGTCAGCCAATTACGACGCGAGAATTGTGGTCAACCACCCCAACGCGAGGACTTTATCCAGCCAATCATAACACGAGAATTCAGGAACAATCACAACGCGAGATCTGTAGTCAGCCAATTACGACGCGAGAATTGTGGTCAACCAACCCCAACGCGAGGACTTTATCCAGCCAATCATAACACGAGAATTCTAGGGAACCAATCACAGCGCGAGAACTGTAGTCAGCGAATTACGACGCGAGAACTACATTCAGCACAATTATATCGAGTAAAAGTACAGTTCCATGAATTTTAAAGACTCATTACCTGATATATAATGCATAGTATCTGTTTATTCTCTTCAGTAGGTCAGTCTGTCTTCTCTCATTCCCTATCTCTCTGTTTCTCTCTCTATCTCTCTTATGTCTTTCTCTCTCTCTCTGTCTCTCTGTCTTTCTCTCTTTCTCTCTCTCTCTCTCACTCTATCTATCTATCTCTCTCTCTCTATCTTTTCTCTCTCTCTCTATCTATTTCTCTCTCTCTATCTCTCTATCTCTCTCTCTCTCTCTCTCTCTCTCTCTCTCTCTCTCTCTCTCTCTCTCTCTCTCTCTCTCTATATATATATATATATATATATAATATATATATATATATATATATATATATATATATATATATACTATATATATATATATATATATATATATATATATATATTACCTATATACCTATTTGTCTGTCCGTCTATGTCTGTCTTTCTGTCTGTCTGTTTTCTTACCGACCCCTACCTACCTATATACCTACCTACCTATCTAAACATCAATCTACTCTATCGATCTATCTATCTATCTAATGCATATTTCATCTTTGGCATCCCCGCATAATAATATCAAAGGGTATAATTGTTCTTGCGCGCGACCAACAACACAAAACATATCTCATCTTTATCTAATGCTCACTAATATATTAATTGTCCATATATTGTACAGTATCGGTCAAAACTCTTGTCAAGTATTCTGTTTCGGACATTCGCTTAATACCACACTTTTTTTGTATATTGTAAGAGAGATTTTGTTCATTTCATTGAGACTTTTTCCGTTCGTTTTTGAAAAAAAGTCGCGTTCGAAAAATTTGTCGAGCATGTTTCGAATTCCTTTTTGAACATCTGCTTAATGCCACGGGAAGGGCTAGCTAGATCAGTAGCAACTCGAGGTGTTAAGGCGTCTGATTCTATTTTGTGGAAAAAAGCACGTGGGTTTTATTTTGATGACGTCACAAAAGTTACGGATGATTTGTGAATACGGTCGATCATTTTGGTCTTTTCGATTTTCAAAAAGGATGGAAAAGAATGGTTTTACTGGTTATATTTTCATTGAACAATCATCAAAACAGACGCCATGACACCACCTCGAGTTGCTACTGTACAGTCACGGTCAAAAATTTTGTCGAGCGTGTTTCGAATTCCGTTTCGAACATCTGCTGAATACCACACTTTTTGTATAGGGTGAGACAGATTCGAAGCTTCATTTCATTCAAAAAACTTTTGTCCGTTACTGTACCAGTGTATGGTGAGGCGCTAGCAAGCATTTGTCAGTTGTCTCGTTACTGTGAAGAGAGTAGTTAGAGCAATTAGCGGTCTTAGACGATGAGACAGCATTTACGAAGTAGTTAAAAGCGTATATATAGTAAAAGTATATGAGATCATTTATATGACAGATGGTGAATTTGTATACTGATCTATAAATTATTTGCTCGACTGCGGGCATTAATTTACATTAAGTGTACATAGTCCATATAACACTCGCACTTCCGACTGTACTTGTCACAAATAACTTCCTGTCTGTATCAAGTACACAGTCATTATAGAGGGACAAATACTTAAAACATTGCCAGGTGATGTACTCAAAACGTGTTTTTTCTTCTTTCTTTTTTATTTTTCATTTTTCATTTTTATTTATTATTTCAAGAAATATGAACAACGAATACGCAGTTCATTGAGGTTTATAACTAATATTTGACTATATTCCTTATTTTTTTTATTATTATTGTTAGCTGATTAACACGTCAGTTAGTTTTCTTTTTCTTATAAGGTTCTTTAAAAATCAAAGGATCTGGTCTATTTTCTACTAAACCCGAGAATTATGAATATTAAGACGTAAAAAAGTTCAATATCTCCCTCTCTACATATATTTATCCATCTATGTATATATCTATATGTAAATATACTCCTGTACTATTTTAAAGAATATTAAGATCTAAAAAAAGTTGTTCAATATCTCCCTCTCTACATATATTGATCCATCTATGTATATATCTGTATGTAAATATTCTCCTGTACAATTTTAAATCATTTATGTGTGGCTGAATATTTTCATTCATCTACCTCATCTCCCTCTCCTCCAGGTGGCACTTCTCGTGGTCAGTCTGACGGCCTCGGAGGAGGTCATGGCCTCGTCGCGGGACTCGGCGCTGCCCTCGCCCGTCCAGCCCCACGCCCACTCACACAGGGCGCAGGACGCTGCCGCAGTTCCGCCCGCGCACCGGAAGGAGAAGGTGCGGCACGCGCATCGCTTGCGGGTGAGTCCGGCCGCCACGGCTCCTCGCTCCGAGAGATCGGGTCTGTTCTGTGTCTCTTTGAATTGAAGTCGAATCTTATTTTTTTCATTTTCTTTTTTTTTTTATTCATATATTTCTTTTGATTTTTTTTAAATCTTTATTTTATTATTTATTTATTTTTGTAAGCTACATGAAATCGAATCTTAATTTTGTTTTTATCATATATTTCTTATTTATTTATTCCTTTTTTATTCCTTTTTTATTTATCTTTATTTTATTTATTTTTATTTATCTAATTTTGTAAGCTACACGAACACGTCCAATAAACGCTTCGATAACATATTAATACAGACGAGAACCTCCGCTCGTAGACGAACCAGTTGATCGAGATGATAATTACCTCTTTTCCGTCCTCACCTCGTTGGCAGCGGACTCTGATTTATTGCAAATGTTGCGCCACCATTCAATTAAGCTAGTCAATGGACCACCGGGGCCGCCATCAAAGTGTCAAACATAGAGCCATTTAGTATTAAATATTGCGCGACTACACAAAATACGGTCCGGAATCATGGCCGATGCTCATTGATCCTCGAACGCTGTTATCGGCTCGCTGGGGAATACAGCGCCGGGGAAATATGGAGTTTCGTATGCATTTATGTATAACCAACACGCATAGAATACTTGAATAATCGTTGGTGAAGCTGTTGGCGCCTCTGGTCCGCTGTGGGCGAGTGACGCGCTGGCCGGGCGGAGGCAGGTTTGATTTCCTGTCATGTGGTGTATGAATAAGTAATTTGGCGAATGCTCCGGGTCTGCGCTCGAGGCCTGGCGGTCCTGTTGGTTGGTGGAGGACTTGGGAATAGTCTGGGTTAATGAGGATTTTTTGTTTGTTTTCGTTTTTGTTTTTTGTTTTGAGACTATGTTAAAACTCAGTATGGACATTATTTCAAATGAATACTAATTAGCTTCCAGATTTTTAGGATATACGTGACACCAGTTACAACGGAGCGCATGAGATTAATCACCTTCTTCGCTTTACTCTCCCACAGGAGCGCTTCCACGGCAAGAAGAAGCTCCACCGCGTGCGCTTCCTCGACTACGCCCCCGACAAGCCCCTGCACATATACGAGAAGCCCCAGCGCGACTCCGCGAGGGCGTTGGACCAGGCCTACTTCTGGTCCTACACTGGGCTCGGGACGCCGAGCGACCTGTGGCAGCAGGCCATCCGGGTCCTGCCGGGCGAGGGCAAGGCCGCCAAGCCGAAGCCCGTGGCGATGCCGGTGACGGAGAACCTGAAGCGGGACCCGGACCCCGTCGCGTATTACGGCCTCCCGAAGGAGCTCATGCCGATCCACCCGGGAGGAGGGTCCAGGTTCGAGGACCTGGAGAAGGAGCGCCTCGAGAGAGCGAAGTTGGCCCACACCAAAGACGCCGGAGACGACGCGGACAACGGCGCCGGCCACGACGCGGAGGGCCTCTACAGCGCCGCCGCCGCGCCCTTCCTCTCGCTCCCCGCCGTCGTCGTCGCCTGCTGCGTCAGCTTCGTCCTATAGATCCCGTTTCCCAGACCGTTTTCCCGATCCCGGAAAGTCGTTCCATGTTACTGATTTTTAAAAGCCTTTCGTGGTCTCGCAAGTTGGTGAATGAGTATTTATTTTGTCCTGATGAACACGATGAACTTTTTGATAGGTGTTAAGCAGAATAGATTTAGTGCTATGAATATATTGTTGTGCCACGACACATAGTGATACCGTATGTGCGTATGAGGATGTGTGCGCGCGTGCACATATACGCCTGCATACATTTAAACTTGCGTATGTGCGTTTGTGTGTGTGTGTTTGTGTGTCTCTGTCTACTTGTGTGTGTGCTTGAATGTGTATGTTTGTGTGTATGTGTGCTTATGGAGAGTCCA